TTGTTGGGAAGCAGCGGGGAGGCACATGTGAAACCTCTGCGGGGCTGGGCAGAGCCCGCAGGCCCCGTGTGACCGTGCATGTAGATGAAGCAGCCCCGGCCCTGGGAGCTGCTGCTGCTCAGTTCTCAGGGAAGGCTTTTTCTGTGCTTGGCTCCCTGCTGAGCCAGCCCTTTTCAGCCTTTCCATCCCCCAGTCCTTGCTCCTGCACAACTTGATTGAATTAAAGACCCAGGAGAACGTGGGTTTATTTTCTCCTCTTCAAGGCACTGCAGAAAAGATTTTTAATTGGTTTAAAAAAAAAGATGCTGAACAAAATGCAATGGTTTTCAGCCCTCTTGAAGCAGCAGTAACAGATAGCACTATTTAACACTGCTGAGTGGAACCACAAGCAGGAGCTGTGACTGGCAATTTAAAGCAAGCTCAGAGTGGTTTCTGGTTTATTTAAAGCCTAAAGTGTTTACCCTCAAAAGAAAACCAGAACCTTCAAGTGTTTGCCCTTCCCACACCACGTTCCAATAATGCAGCCTGGGAGGAAGAGTGGAGCCTGGGAGGCAGCTTCAATTCAACAGAGACACGCACCTCGATGCATAATTAATAACATTTCATCCCAGAAACGCTTCTCTTCCACACAGAGCCTGCAGTGATGGCAGGGAGCTGCTTGCACATCAAGAACATCCCTGCAAGTGACGTGTGACACCCCAGGGAATTCATAATCTGGGCCACTGCAGTGGTGACAGGACAAGGGGGAACAGCAGGGACAGATGGATATTGGAAGGAAATTCTTCCATTCCCTGCAATGGAATTCCCAGAGAAGCCCTGGATGCCTGGAAGTGCAGGGGTGGAATGAGATGGGCTGTAAGGTCCCTTCCAACCCAAAGATTCTTTGAAATCAGCTCAGAATTTCAGGTGTCCCCCACAAGTGAAGTAAAGGGTAAAAGGCATTGTCTCCCCAAGAATTCCTCTCAGCACATCATTTTTACAAGGAATGATGCTAAACCATGATCCCAGTCCCACAGAAACCCAAAGTGCTTTGAGCCCATGCAGGTCAGTGCCACTGATGACTTAAGAGCCTGGATCTGCATCCCAAATTCCAGCAAACCCTGAGATCAGCCTCCAAAAAATCTGCTCCTCAAGAAAACTTGTAATCTCAGAGGGGATTTGGAAGGTGTTGATCAACCCTCAGAATTATTTCCTGAGGGTTAGGTTTTGATTAACCCTCAGGATTATTTCCATCGTGGCTTCCTTACCTGAGTTCAAAACCCCCAAAGATTCTTTGTGTCAAAATCCAAGAATTCCTCTCAGCACATCATTTTTACAAGGAATGATGTTAAACCATGATCCCAATCCCACAGAAACCCAAAGTGCTTTGTCCCCAGGTTGGTGCCACTGATGCACTTAGAACCTGGATCTGCATCCCAAATTCCAGCAAACCCTGAGATCAGCCATTCCCTCAAAAAAAAAAACTGCTCCTCAAAGCAACTTGCAATCTCAGAGGGGATTTGGAAAGTGTTGATCAACCCTCAGGATTATTTCCATCATGGCTTCCTTACCTGAGTTCATAACCTCCAAAGATTCTTTGTGTCGAAATCCAAGAATTCCTCTCAGCACATCATTTTTACAAGGAATGATGCTAAACCATGATCCCAGTCCCTCAGAAACCCAAAGTGCTTTGTCCCCATGCAGGTCAGTGCCACTGATGCACTTAGAATTTGTATTTGCATCCCAAATTCCAGCAAACCCTGATACCAGCCATTCCCTCCAAAAAAACTGCTCCTCAAAGCAACTTGCAATCTCAGAGGGGGTTTGGAAGGTGTTGATCAACCCTCAGGATTATTTCCTGAGGGTTAGGTCTTGATTAACCCTCAGGATTATTTCCATCATGGCTTCCTTACCTGAGTTCAAAACCTCCAAAGAGTCTCCGTGTCCAAATCCAACATTTTAACAGTAAACTATCACAGCAGAAAAGGCCTTTCCTACACAGCTCAATTTCTTACACACAGCTTTGGGTTTTTAAATGCCCAAGATCCCCACATGCCACGGCTATGCCAGGGAACTCACTACAAACACACCAGGAAGAGCCAGAACTGCCAGAGCAGGGCAGCCCAAAGTCCTGATTCCCACAAAGCCAACACTGGACACTTAAAAAAGAAGAAAAAAGCAAAAAACCCCCACATGATCAATCAACCAGTGACATTTCCTCAGCAAACTCACTCCTCTCTACCCTCCAACAATTTATGGCTTAAGTCACCATAATATTGGCTGTCAAGGCAGAGTCTCCCAGCCCTCAGGGCATTTCAAACCCTGCTGAGCACAAATCTCTGCAACAAGTGCAAACTTGGCAAATATCTGTGAGCTGCAGCCTGTGTGCTGCTCTGGGGAGCCCCAGGTGCCACCCAAAGGGCAGGAAACTGAAAAAGCTGCCCTCATCCAGCTCCTCTGCACTGATTTCCTGGGATTTGTTCTTGTTCCAGGATCCCAGGGTCATCCCACAGCACAGGGTTCATGTACTCATGATGCAGTCCCATTTTCAGAAAAATTCACTTTTTCCATCCCGAATTTCCACAGCAGCCACGGTGAAGGCAATGTGCCACGTGTTCAGCCCACAGAAAATCAGCATTCAAGCCAAACTCCCAAAAATCAGGCAGAACATGGGAATAAACCACCAAGGAAGGAGGAACAGCTTAAGATCATTTGGTGTCAGATTCACAACCAGGGCAGATCCAGCCCAGTTCTTCCATCACCAGAGATCACACACAGGCACAGCCTTAGGCCTGGATTAATCCTGTCCATTTTTAGGCAAAATGCCTCAATCTGGAGCCCAAGATCCCTCTGTGCTGACAGGGGGACAGAACACAGGTGTGGTCCTGCCCTTCTGCCTTCTAGAAAAGGGCTGAGCCCAGAGCTGAGCCCTCTGCTGCAGGTTTTACCTGGCTGCAGGATGCTCTCATGCAGCCCAGCAGCAGCACACATCCAGGATGCAATGGGCAAAACGACAATTTAATACTTTAAGTTCATTTGAAATCAAATTCTGTTTTCCCCACTGATTTTTGGGAACAGCAGGTCAGAGATTACAGGAGATGAGGGGACCAGGAATGGCTGTGCTGCTGCACACAGGAGCTGCTCTGCTCCAAGCATGTGATGAAATTTGGATGCTGTTGTGTTGTTACAGGCTTCACATGGCCTAGAAACTGGGAAAATCTTTGTTCTCCCAGGCTGACACTCACACAGGGCTGTGGCATTACAATTTAGTTCAAAGTGCTGGATTTGAAAGGTCTTTTCACCAAACTCTCTAATGAAAACAACACTCACACACTCCTGTGCCAGGATATTAAACATGACAAAAATCTGACTTCACCCACACTGAGCTTCTGTGCTTTTTCCTGACACCAACTTTCAAGGTGTTCCTGTTAGGATGTTATTTATTCATGCAGATCTCTGACACACAGAGCAGAAAGGCAGTGAAGGACAGGAAAATGGCAAACAAGAAAGGAGCCTCAGCCAGCACGAGCTGCAGAACCCTCAGCACTTGTGATGCTCCTAAATCTCATCAAGCCACAAAGTGCAAACAGACAGGATCAGCACGAGAGACAGGATCTTAAGCTCCCCTCAATCACTGTAATTAACACCTGATCATTTCAAGTTAAGAGCAAATTAAACCCCTGACAAGCACAATCACAGATTACACAGAAATTGGTCTATAAATAGGGAGGGAGCACATGGCTGAGCCAGGGCTGGCACAATTCAGCTTTCCATGGTGAAGGTTAAACTGCTTTCCTTAGTCAGTATTTTTAGGGCTAAGTGCAGAAGATCCAGCCCCCAGTAATTAGATATTTGAAGCTGAATCCCTTGTGGTTATCCTAGAAATGTCCAAGTGAATGAGGAGCAGCAGGCTGGGATTAAAGTGGCTGATTCAGACAAAGCATTAACAGCACTGAGGCAGCCACAGAGCTCCCAGTGTCCATTCCTGCAGGGACAGGGACAGGGACAGGGACAGGGACAGGGACAGCTCCCAATGTCCATTCCTGCAGGGACAGGGACAGGGACAGGGACAGGGACAGCTGCCCATCCCTGCAGGGACAGGGACAGCTCCCACTGTCCATCTCTGCAGGGACAGGGACAGGGACAGGGACAGGGCCAGGGACAGCTCCCAATGTCCATTCCTGCAGGGACAGGGACAGGGACAGGGACAGGGACAGCTCCCACTGTCCCATCCCTGCAGGAATAGCTCCCACTGTCCCATCCCTGCCTTACCTGAGGTGGGGCTTTCTTCAGCAGCACCAGAAGGGCTTGCAAAACCAGGTTGGAAAATCGAGGTCCAATTGGGACATAATCTGAAAAGAAAAACTCATTTTAACGTCCACGGACCAGGTGCACATTTAATCCACTTCACTGCAGCAAAACCAGTTCAATGCTTCTGCAGTAAATGGTTCCAGATAATTTCCAGTTTGCAATGTTTCAATATTGCAAATGCATCAATATTTCTGCAGCAGCCAGCACAGCTCTCCCTCCTCCTGACTCACCTAAAAGTCGCTCAATGTCGTCCACAACAACACAGCTGAGCTGGGACTTGTAGGCATCATCAAAGATCTGAAAAGCAGTGAAATATCTCAGGGTTAAACCTCAGCCACAGCTGGGCCTGCTGATGTGGGTTCAGCTGAACACAGCAGCACTGAGAGGAATAATCTGAGAATGAAACAGGTGGGGAATGGGAGATCAGGCTCCCTGCAGGCAGTAAAACACTGCCACCTCCACAAATTTGGTTTATTTATTCATTTACTGCCCTGAGGCTCACTGTAAACCAGGGAGATACCAGCACCATTCCTGTGTTTTAGGAGCTGGGGCAACACTGATAATGTGACACACACAGAGAACCTGCCCAGCTGTGACACAACTGTGAAGCTTTTCTCCTCAGGCTATTGGGCACTGTGCAGAGCAGCCCTGCAGGGAGAAGGGACTGACCCAGGGCTGGATCTCAGCCCACTGACCCTTCCTGGAGCAGCTCTGGGTGTGAGCAGAAGGCAGCACTAAGGACAGCAGTGGTGCCTCCAGCAAACCCTGATTCCAGTGAATCCAAAGGCTCCTTTTGGAATCCAAGTCACAAACTGGATCTCCACTGCTTCTCATAAAAACCTTCCTTCCCTTACAAACTCTACAGCTCTGCATCAATGCGGTCAGAGTAACATTCAGTACCATTTCCAGGAAATGAAAATGTTCCACTCATTCACATTCCCTGGCTGCCCAGGTTGTTAAACCCTGTGTTTAAATAAAATCCCCACCTCAGAGCAGGTCCCAGTCCCACTCAGGCAGGATCTGCCCTCCCCAGGTGCAGCCCTAAGCCCTTCCTGGCTCCCCATCCACAGGCAGAGCTCCAGCCCTGCTCACCCCAGATCTGCTCTGCTGCAGTTTGCCAGGATCTCACACCAGAACTGAGAATTGAAACACTCAGTGCCACAAAAACATTGGGACAGGAGTCTGGTGTGACAGGACAAGAGGGAATGGATTCAAACTGCCAGAGGGCAGGGTTAGGTGGGATATTGGGCAGGAGAGGACTTGGCAGAGAGTGCCCAGAGCAGCCCCTGGATCCCTGGCAGTGCCCAAGGCCAGGCTGGACAGGGTTTGGAGCCACCTGGGACAGTGGAAGGTGTCCCTGCCATGGCAGGGGTGGCACTGGAAGAACTTTAAGGTCCCTCCCAACCCAATCCATTCTACAATTCTGTGATACATTCAATTTTATAAATAAATATATGCAGGATTTCCAGACCTAGAAAGAGCAGAAAACCATCTCAAAGGTAATTCACCTTTCCCTGCAGGAGAGAACCCAGAACTGAGCTGTCAGCAGGCACAGGGGGTGACACACACGTACCTTCTTCATGGCCTGGCACTTGGCTGTCTCAGAAAACCCAATCATCTTATCAGGAGAACAGATCTTGATAAAGGGGAAGTTGGATTCCTCTGCTATTTTTGCTGCTAAAGCAGTCTTCCCACTGTGGGGGGGGCCTGCAGCAAAGGACAAACAAGGAATAAACAAGGGAGGAAACAGCTCTGACAATGCTCAGTGTGAATGATACCAAGGGTATGTTTAGAATTCCATCCAGAGGCATCTGCAGTGTGAAATGAATGTTTTTCCTGCTTGCAGAAGGAACACATTAACTCCTGCTGCAACCCAACCCTCCACGTGAAGGCATTGAATGGAACTACTTGAGCATATGCAGAATGATTTACCACACCACAAAATATGGCATTACACTTTCTGTAGGAGCAGCCACGGCACCAAAATGTGTTTAGGATAAATTTCTTGAGCTTTTGTTCTGTCTCAGTATGATCTCTGCTGGCACCTTGGCAAACAAGCCAGCAGCAGGCACACCAAATACTGGCAAAGATAATTTGTTATTTGCCTGAATTCAGGATAATTCAGAGACCAAAGGCACACCTGAATCCATGCAGCCAACATGAATCAGTTGGGAGGGACAGAAGAAATTGCTGGGCAGTAACACAAGGAATTACTCAGGGTTAACTCCAAAGCTACAGAGGTAATGCATCTTTGGGGAGTTTGGGAAAGGAAAAAGGGAAGGGATAAACAACAAATTTTATTCCAGTATAACAAATTCTCCTCCAAAACCTCTAACACAGATAATGGAAGCAGTTTCCAATATCTGAAAACTCTCCTTAGGCAGTCTGGATAGAGGAAATCCACCTTTAACTGACAGAAACACCCAAATGTGGCTGTTTGAACTCAGCTAATTGCACTGATGAGCTCTCCAGTGACTTCAAAGAGAATTTAGAAAACTGACTCAGCTGGAGACATCTCCACTGTAAACCAGCCAAATGCAGGTTACTCACTGGGTACATTTGGGTTTTTCACTGGGCACATTTGGGTTATTCACTGAGTACATTTGGGTTTTTCACTGGGCACATTTGGGTTATTCACTGAGTACATTTGGGTTATTCACTGAGTACATTTTGGGTTATTCAGTGGATACACTTTGGTTATTTAGCAGGCACATTTGGGTTCTTCACTGGTTACATTCTGGATATTTGGTGGAACATTTTTGTTTATTCACTGGGTACATTTGGGTTATTCACTGAGTACATTTGGGTTATTTAGTGGGACATTTTGGTTCTTCACTGGGCACATTTTGGGTTATTTAGTGAGTACATTTTGGTTCTTCACTGGGCACATTTGGGTTCTTCACTGGTTACATTTTGGATATTTGGTGGAACATTTTTGTTTATTCACTGGGTACATTTGGGTTCTTCACTGGGTACACTGTGGTTACTCACTGGGTACATTGTGGTTACTCACTGGGTACATTTTGGCTATTAAGTGGGCACATTTTGATTATTCCCTGGGCACATTCCCTTCTCCCCTCTTCCCATCAAAGGATCCCTTTGGCTGAGCAATTTTAACACCCAAACCAATTTCACCCAAGCAAACTGAAAGAGCCCAGCTCCATTTCTCCCCCAGGGTGTTTCCTGCAGGTTCAGGGTGTCAGAGGTGAGCAGAGCAGCCCCCAGAGGCATTCCCAGGTGTTTTCCCAGCTGTACCTTCCAGCAGCACGCTGACCAGGGGAGTGCGGTCGCTGTTCTTGGTCTGCTGCACCAGCAGCTCCCCATCATCCAGCACCCTCGTCACTGGGTCCCCCCACTTGATGATGCCATTCATGATGTAGCTGGCATAGTCCTCCTGGTTGGTTCCAAATGCCTGTAGAAGACAGGGAAATACTTTTTGTACCAAATAATTTTTCATCCCATTGAAAAATCATGAAATAATTAAACAAAAAATGAGCAGGAGCAAAGTTCTGGGAGATGCTGAAGGGAGACAGTCACAGCCCCTGGTGACTCACAGCATTCCAACATTCAGAGGGCTGAACACTGGTGGAGACCAGGCATGTTAAGAATCATCTTTTCATAGGCCCTCACAAGCAGTTCCAGTCAGTGCAAGTTGCCAGTGGGTTCTGACTCCTCACTGTGCAGAGACAATTCTCAGAAATGAGGTTTAAACCTCCTCCTACAGCCCAGGGTAAAGCTGGCATTCCAGCTCCAACAATGGCCAGGTCAGTCCCCATCCCTGCCTCCACCTGTGTGAATTCTCCCTCCCAGAGAACAGCCAAAATTCCCTGGCATCCTGTGCATTGACATCCTTCCAAATGCAGATCTCCACAGGTGACCTTTGTCTTTATACCCCCAGGAAATGAAGTGGCCAAAAAGTGGACAAGGAGAAGAAACCTCCAGCTGTCCTTTATCTGTTCTAGTTCTCTTTAAGACTCTCTGGGCAGCAACAGCGAGCTCAGAGCTCTTCACATGCCAGCCCAGGGGGCACCACTGCTGTGTGACCCCAAAGGAAGTGTCCTTCCCTCCCATCTGGCTGCTCTGGGGGCTGTTCCTGCAGCCCCACAGCCCCCACTTACTGGTTTGATGTCGTTCTCCAAGGACGCAAAGAAGTCTCCTCTGGTCACTCGCAGGCTCTCTGCCTTCTCCATGTCCACCTCCACTTTGTTGCTGGCCTAGAAAAGCAATAAAAGCCACACTGTGGGGTCAATAATAAAAATTTTCCTGTGGGGGCGTTTGCTGAGTCCTCCTGAAGCCACCCAGGGCAGCTGTCCCACCCCACTGTGATATTTTCTGGAAAATTTCCTTGCCAGGATTTTTCTCCTGAGAAGCTGAAAAGCCTCAGAAAAGAAACAATAATTATCTGATTGCTTGGAATGTGGTTTGGAGGTTGCTTC